AAGGTGAAGAAAAATTTGTTCTGGTCCCCCGTCGGTCAGCATGGCCCTCCAAGTATCCTCAGTCTCCTGCAGGCGCGCTTCCACCGTCTCAAGAAACTCAACTCGACGGTGTCCTCGTCGAAGACACTGCATAAGGTCGTCCTGATTCCACCGCAGTTTCTCTGGTGATGGTGTCAGCGTCTCCGCCGTGCAGATCGCTTGCATGCCGTGCAGCTCCATGTAGATTGGGATGTGGTCCTTCGGCGGCCCCCCCTTGAAGGCCTGCAGTTCCGCTCCCAGACTGAACAAAGGGGAGAACTTCTGTGCCATGTCGGTCATGTCATCTGGTATGAACAGGTAGTCAATGCAACTGCTGTGCCCAGACGCGTTGTAGAACGTGTGCTCGAACGTCTGGCTGCGAGAACTCATCATGTACATATGGTGGCGCTCATTCACCAGTCTCATCATTTCCCCCGCGCCACCACGCCTTTGCTCTCGGGCTCGTCCAGGTCCCATCGACTGCGACTCCACATGCTGCCACTGACCCGAGATCCTGCTGATGCCCATGTCGTCGTTCAGGTCCGCATACACCAAAAGTGTACATCTACATGGTAGTTGTTGTAGGACCCCCTCGTACCACTGCGTCAGCATACGGACCGTCTCTTTGTAATGCGGGACCAGACGAGCGTGTCGAGGCTGCGGCGGGAAGTACAACACAATTGCTGCCATATCCAAAGGGCCTCGACGGACCCTCGCCGCGAGAGCGCGGCCCGCTGCCCCCGAGGGGGTCGGCCATGTCCTGCACACGTGCTGCTCCTTGAACTTGTGGCCCAGGACGATGGCGCAGCCTGTACTCTTGTTCGTAAGCTCGCCCACGCCCGCCTCCGCCTCGAGGGCGATCCTCTTCCCGATCTTTCGAGTGAGAACTTCATCATTACGCCTGTGCGTAGCCTGTGTGCCAGCGAGCATCACCACGTCCATATTACCGCGCGACATAGCAACCTCTTGGAGGCGGACGCCCGTGCAGAACATCGGGTTGTACCCCAGCGCCCGAAGGATCCACTGGCCCACGGGCCGCGCCATCGCGATGCGCGTGGCGCCACGGCGGGCCATCCGCCCGCCTGCGCCGCGGCCGCCCCTCGCAGGCTGTGTGCCAGGGGGGCAGGCGGGTGAGGATAGGAAAGTGAGAGGGGCGAATAGCAGGGGGGGGCATCGGGGGGGGATCGGGAAAGGGGGAGAAGGAGCACGAGGAGGAGGAGGAGGAGGAGGAGGAGGAGGAGGAGGAGGAGGAGGAGGGGAGGATCATGAGGAGGAGGATCATGAGCAGGAGGAGGAGGGGAAATGGTGAAGGACGAGCGTGCAGGAGTAAGAGCGAAGAGGAGGAGGAGGGTTTCGATGAAGAGATGCATGAATGACAACACAAATGACTTCTGAGAGGCTTGAGCGCCGATTCCAGATATCCGTGACCTCCGACAACTTGTTATGCTTGTGCTTGTGTGTGTGGACAGTATTATTGAAGACGTCTCCGAAGTCAACGAGGGGACGCAGGATCCATTCCGATCCAATGGATTCGATTCGGTATCAATCCTGGCTGGCTCTGTCCGATTCGATTCCGATATTCCGACAATCCGTTGCGGCCTGTTATTGGTATTGCATGGTGCCGCTGTGCATCGGGGCGCGGCCGATCCGATTCGAGCTTGACTGCGTGCCGGCTCGGCCAAATCCGACGCACGTTCCGATGCGATCGGGTTACCCCAATGCGATGTTCATTGATTTGTGGCTGAGCGCCACAGCCGGATACCTCTCTAGCTGCGTCGGAGGAAGAGGATGAGGAGGAGGAGGCGGTGGAGCAGGAGAGAGGAGGAGGAAGAGGAGCACGAGGAGGAGGAGGGAGGAGGAGAGAGGAGGAGGGTGAGGCAGGAGGAGGAGGAGGAGGAGGAGGAGGAAAGGAGGTGGAGGAGGAGGAGGAGCAGGAGGAGGAGGAGGAGGGCGAGGAGGAGGAGGAGTCGAACGGTGAGGAAAAGGAGGAGGGGGCGGAGGAATACCTCCTGTTCCCCCATTCCTCCTTGCCCCCCCCCTCCCAGCCTCCTTCCATCTCTTCGTCGCCAGGGGCGATGGACGGGCGGCGTTGTGCCGTGGAAGCCTCGGGCGGGGCGCTGCTGACCACGCTAGCGGGATGCGGCTTGTCCGCGGGCCCCTCCAGTGTGGGAGCGCGGCTGCTTTGTGTTGCTGAAGTGTTTCTATATGCAGCCGCCGCAGCGCTTCACGCTCGTTCCGGCGCCAGCAGCGCCCGTTCCGGCGCCAGTGGGAGGGATGGCGGCGCTTCGGCGCCGACGGCGTCCCGGCGGGCGTGGCGGCGCGTGCCGCGCGGCGGCCGCTCACAGAAATCTTGAAGTCCTTGGCGACGGTGCAGGGCAGGGTGCGGCGGAGGTGGGTGGCAGCGGCATGGCAGTCCACGAGGTGGTCGTGTCTTTCGACGACGGCTGGGCAGACGATCTGCCGCCGCGCCCGTCGGGCAAGGGCGAGGGCAAGGACAACGACAAGGGCCCGCCCACCTCGCTCTCCGTCGGCATGCGTGCTCGTGTTTCCCGCGGCCCACGTATGGGCATTTCCCGCGTATCGGGTCGCTCGGCGAGGACACCGCGAAGGTCATCCTCGTGGAGGGCGGTTGAGCGGCCCCTGGCCCTCCCATCGCGGTCGTGGTCGACATGCTCGTGCCGCTGGGGCCGCTGGCGAGAGGTCGTGGCAGTGGGGCACGGTCGGGGCTCTCGCCTCACTGCGTTACAGGACCGCCGTCCCTCCCCACCTCCCGTCACATGGTGTTCGCCGTAGGCGCACACCTGTACAGGTTGTTCTAAGCCGCGCGATACCGTAAGAATCGGTTGCGCTGCGGTTGTCTTCCCTTCATTGTTTCTTCCATTCCAGTTTCCTCCTCCCTTCCACCCTCCCTCCGGCGCGTGTGCAGATTCAGGCCAGAGGTCTCACGAAGATGCGACCCCTTCCTTTCCTCCTCCTCCTCCTTCTCCACCCTACTCCTCCTCCTCCTCCTCCTCCTCCTCCTCCTCCTCCTCCTCCTCCTCCCTCCTCCTCCTTCCTCCTCCTCCTACTCCTCCTCCTCCTCCTCCCCCTCCCCCTCCTCCTCCTCCTTCCTCCTCCTCCTCCCCTCCTCCTCCTCCCCCTCCCCCTCCCCCTCCGCCCTCCCCCTCCCCCCCCCCTCCTCCTCCTCCTCCTCCTCCTCCCTCCTCCTCCTCCTCCTCCATCCTCCCTCCTCCTCCTCCTCCTCCCCTCCTCCTCCTCCTCCTCCTCCCCTCTCTCCTCCTCCTCCTCCTCCTCCTCCTCTCCTCCTCCTCCTCCTCCTCCTCCTCCTCCTCCTCCTCTCCTCCCCCTCCTCCTCCTCCTCCTCCTCCTCCTCCTCCTCTCCTCCTCCTGCTCCTCCTCTCCTCCTCCCCTCCCCGCTCCTCCTCCCCTCCTTCCTCCTCCTCCTCCTCCTTCCTCCTCCCCCTCCCCCTCCCCCTCCCCCTCCCCTCCCCCTCCCACTCCTCCTCCTCCTCCCTCCTCCGCCTCCGCCTCCTCCTCCCTCCTCCTCCTCCGCCTCCTCCTCTCCTCCTCCCTCCTCCTCCTCCTCCTCCTCCTCCTCCTCCTCCCTCCTTCGCTCCTCCTCCTCCTCCGCCTCCTCCCTCCTACTCCTCCTCCTCCTCCTCCTCCTCCTCCTCCTCCTCCTCCTCCTCCTCCTCCCTCCTCTCCTCCTCCTCCTCCTCCTCCTCCCTCCTCCTCCCTCCCTCCTCCTCCTCCTTCCCGCCTCCTCCTCCTCCTCCTCCCTGCCTCAACCGCCTCCTCCGCCTCCTCCTCCTTCCCTCCTCCTCCTCCTCCCTCGTTCACTGGTCGCCACCGTCCGCCTGGCGGCCTGCGGGCCCCGCTCGTGCCGGGCGCCGGCGCGGCGCTGCGGTGGCAGCAAGGGGAGGGGAGGAGGAGGGCAGGAGGAGCGAGGGAGGAGGGACGGAGGAACGAGGGAGGAGAGGAGGAGAAGGCAGCAAGGACAGGGGCAGCAAAGAGACGAGCAGCAAGAGGAGGGGATGAGGGAGGGCAGCAAGAAGAGGGGAGGAGGAGCGAGGGCAGCAAGGAAAGGAGAAGAGGAGGGAAACAGGAACGAGGGGGCAAGAATGATTGGAACTACGCAACAACCGCGCCGATGACCTGCCGCAAAAAGCCAGATCTAGTGAAACGAAGTGCGAACAGGGGGGGAATGGGATGGGGGACGGGGAGAGGAGAAGCATGGGGAAGA